AAACTGTTTTAGTTTGCTTGGTTGGAGATATATTTTGATGAAACTAGGTAAATTTATTCGTTTTAAACTAAGCTATTATTATATTAATAAAAACTCACTTTATAACTCTCCCTGTGGCAGCAAACCTAGGTACTCATGAAAACGAATGTTATTGAAATTGATTTAATTGAATATCAAAATAGGCAAATGGAACTCACTTGGTCTGCAGGTTTGCTGTGGTGGGGGAACCAATTCCATGAAAAGTAGAGACGGCATCACAACCTGTGATTGCAACGAAAATTAATAGGTTGATGCAGATCTCTGGAGGGAGTTGAAAACACAAAAAACTGATACATTTGTATTATTTTAATTATTAACGGCCGCCATTTTGAAACGACTTAATTAAACTCGACCATTGACAACCTGGGCTGAGATAATGTATTCAAGCACTTGTATGCCAAATTTCATTAAAATCGGTTAAGGCAATTGGAGGTTATATCCGATTCATGGCGACCCAGCATCCTTTTACAGTCGCCATCTTGATGACGTCATTACGGACGACCGAGGTCTTTAAAAATTGGGGTCTGGGCAGTTTTACGTTCAGGGACTTCTATACCATGCTACCACCTCAAGTCGCATGTTCCCCGCCAGAACTGAAGTATTCTGCCGCTTTATACAACCATACAACCACACTATATGCATTTTGGTCCCACAGGTGCGTTACATGAGAGTGTACTTTGACACTCGCCGTTTACGTCAATATTGCTCAAACATTGTTATATTATATATGGAAATGAAGCAGAATTTAAAGCTCTACATGATTTTTGAAGGTAAAATCTGCATTTCCTCAATATTAATGGCGAAAACCCCCGAAAAGTAAGAATATGTCTAGTTTTTTTTACATATTTTAAAGTTTAATTTGTTTTTTCACTATTAACAATCATATTTCTATTATTTAATATGGTATTTTCTTGTTAATAATATTATGCCGAAGAATCTAAGACTAATTAGACTTTTCTATATGGAATGGTTTGGGAACAATAAGTTTTTAAGTGGAACCTTGCAGTGTTTTACAGATTGTCCGCCATTTTCCAAGATTGCGGATTTTGCTACAGTGGGAAAAGTTGGGAATTTTCACAAAATGTTAAGGGAAGCATGCCTAACACATTCCAGTTGGTTTTGCGTTGTTATTAATTTTGCTCAGGTAAAAGTCTAAAAGGCCTAGCCTAGATGGAGATATAAGAATATGTTAAGGTCCAAAGCATTTAAATGATAATATTAAAATGTGTCAGTACCAACTACCTACGATTGATATGCTTTCCAGTAAGTTAGTGGGTGTAAGTATACTTATATTACACTTAATGCACCCGTTCATTTGATTTTTTTCGTTGATTTGTATTAGTTTTTAGTTTCACGTCATCTAGAAAAGATTGAAGACATAATTTTAAAACACGTAAACTTTACAGAATAACATGACAAGGATCCTACGCCTTAACGATGCCGTCACCGCGTCGAGGCATATGTCAAATTACAACAGTAAACTTTATAGTTCGGCCGACTTTAATAAAAACAAAAAATTTCATCAAATTAAACGTATTTACATAAAATCTGTTTTTATGTGGCGTACATGACGAAGAAATATAGGATTTACTTGCAGTTTAGGCCGTCGGCCCTCATTTTCAGCGTTTGATTGCACTGATATTTCCTACGCAACCTACAGGTCGTCGCCCGTGAAGTGATACTAAACAAATATTTGTAACACAAAAATTTAAACAAAAATTTAAACAAATGTTTGTGATAAATCTCAATTGTTGGAAAAAAATTGGTGTAGATGCAAACAAGTAGTTTTTAGAAAATATAGTGAGTGGTTGATGTGCAATTCTGAGTGTTATGAACATAGAGTGTTTGTAATTAACAAACCACCCTATTTTAAAGAACTGAGACTACCAGGTGGTAGAGTTGGAAAGTTTCACCAAAAAAAATGAATAAACTCGATGGCAAATAAGTAAGTTCAAAACATCAATTTAACTTTTATAACTCCATTACGTATTTGTTTAATTTATAAGATTTTAATTTTGAAGTTGTTTATCATGCCCTAACCTCATCTCCTTAATCTCATTAAAATTAAAATAAAAAACTAATGTTCCGGATTGTATGAATGTTAAAGATTGTATATAAGAGAATCGGGGCTGTTTTTCGATGTAATATAAACATAGTTTAACACATTAAATCGACTGCCTGTTCATGTAAATAATGCTAAGTTTGTCAAAAGCGGAAATGTATTAGCTATCATTAAACTGTAATTTTATGATACAATTTTAAATAGGTTTGGGAATTCATAATAACCCAAGTAAAACACTCTCGATGACATAACGTTTGGTAGCCTGTGAACCATGGTTTCATGGTAACCTGTAGGTATATAAAGTCAAGTCTTTATATACCTACATCTTTACATGTATCTTTACATGTAGGCTGTATTAAGGATCGCCAAGTTTTTAGCATAGCTACAGAGGAAAATTTTGTGGATTATATCCTCAAGGCTTCAGACATGTATTTCGGACTGTCACCGGACTGCAGAATAGGGAAAACTGGTTATTATGGCGTGTGGAATATTTCTGAGGTAATAGTGTTCCGTCATTATTGGTGTTTCCGAGAGTGCGTGTCAAACACCATTTCATTGCAAATGTACCTCCAGGAAGTGGAGAAAGTTTTAATCGATCAGGGTGGATACTGAAAGAAGACTTCCAGTTATTTTTAAAGCACTTTCAAAAATATGCTAAAAGCTCCAATGATAATCTATGTTTACTTGAGCATTGCTGGCCTTAGCTATTCAAAAGATAATGGTATTGTTATGCTTAGTTTTCCTCCACATTGCTAGCATAAATTGCAGGCACGTGACAGGTCAATATACGGTCCAAAAAAGAAGTAGTATATTAATTCTCCTTGTTATGAGTGGTAAATCTCGAACCCAGGAAACCATTATAGTAGGGGTATGATATTCCTGCAGTGGTTGCTGGAGCACATCCTCTAGCCATGACGCCTTCAAACATTTTATCCAGCTTTAAATGCACTTGAATATACCCTTTTAATAAGGATATCTATGTGACGGACTTGCCCATCCTGCTGCTGATGAAGTTACCCAGGCTAAAGATTACACCATAACACCTTTAGTACAGCCACAAACCAAAAAAACCTTCATTTACAGGTAACAGGTACAGCGAACTGATTTGTAAATCTCCGAAATTGTCAGAAGACCTTGTTGCAGCAGCTGGAATATCAGATCGTAAGCCCTGTATTAGATCGACCCATGATGTAGCCTAGGATAAAACACATTCAAGAAGTAGTTCCAACCTCTATTAATAGTTTTAAATCTTACGAAGTACGGGTACTCTGCTAGTAATAAATGATTAAACCGGGTGTCCACAAAGTCTTGGTCTGATTTTTTTAGGACATAGCAATAGTGGGGTACGCGGGGAATGCGGGGACCAATCAGAATGCGCCATTTCAATCCCGTAACACCCCTAGGCAAATCAGCTGTGACTTTCTCACCGGGATCGTATTGCATATGTAACATAACCTTACCTGTCATCTGCTTTCCCGCCAACCATTCCCGCCAAACGACATAACCTCACTTTACGTATTGTATACATAGATACCTTTGTTTATTTAATTAATATATAAAATATGAATGTAATCATAAACTTATATTATGTTAATATTCATCTGAAATATAATTTTTTTTTACTTTTTGTTTCACATTTTTGGTTTTTATAATAATTCGTTTGCTCCGGTTGATGGCCCGGCGAAGAGACTTCCTAAATAATAATGAAATTTTTGCTGGAAGGACAACATTTCTAAAGATCTGGCGTACATTTTGTTCAGACATCGTTATCATGAAGCCAAAAAGTGATCTATGTGCAACATGCCAAAAAACTATACCTCTCACGCATAGCTTCGTGAACTCAGCGATGAAGATAAAGCAGAGTTTTTTCATAAATTTCAAGAACACTTAGACGAGTTGAATCAGAAAGAAAGGCCTAAGTACATACCTATGTAAATAATATGTAAATTAATAACAACATGTATTAATTTCTTTACAGTACATGCTAATATAAGAAACAATTATTTAGGCATTTCAGCCTTTCAGAAATTTGATTAGTATTAAATGTATTTTTTGTTCTATTCAATTGTATGTTTTGTGGACAAATAAATAAAAAATTACTAATTCTTATTTTACCTTTTCAAAATGTGGTAAACAAACTTTCATGTTGCTAGGTAACATTTCTTTATTTATGAGAAAAATTCTGAATAATTTGATATAAAATATGTAAGTATTAATGAAAATGTCTCAGTTTTAGCTAAGTTTTAAAATGAAGAAAGTTGAAACGCAATTTACCGAAAACGGAGGTTTTTATTATTTAATAATTAAAAACAACATAACTCTCTTACTTATTAAGATAAAAATATTTTAAAATACCCAATTGTTCAATAAATGCCCTCTATGCAGAAATGCTAATAGCTCAATTTCAACAATATGTATCATAAGGTCCCTTTTCCTGTGACCCATCACGACTTAATATGATTTATCACACCATCAATAATTTCTTGAGAATGTTTATTTATGGAAGATCGACGGTCCCTTTGATCTGGTTTTGTTGTACCAGAAGTTGACTGCATTTTATTTGCAACTGTTAAAGCAATAAATTTGTTATGTTCATCCAACGTATTTAAAAAAAACAGCCCTTGCAAACTTTAAAAGGTTGACCTTTGATGTTGAAATCTATATAAAGAAACGTTACTTCTCTTCTTTTATTTGAACTTTTTTACCTCTTCCTAGTAGTCTTTGTTTCTTCAACATCTATTGAACTACTAATAAACTGACTCTTCGCTCTCAAGATCCAAACGCCCAATATTCGTCAAAAATGGTTTTTCGCAACTCATCGTTCAAATTTTTCGAACGCTCCATTCTGCAATCCTTCAGGCCTCTCATTTTCTTTCTTGAACCTCTCTTCCTTTAACTGTTACGTAGTCTTTGCCTTCATGTCTGTTATTTGTTCTTTCTTTTCGTTTTCCTCTAACTCATGGACCTTCTCCTTTTTTCTTTTATTGTTTGGAGGTTGGTCCTCAGGAACATCGTTATCTATATTGTTAGGATTAGGCCTATCACCAATTGCAACCATTTGTTGGTTCTCAGGAGCATCGTTATCTATATTGTTAGGATTAGGCCTGTCACCAATTGCAATCATTTGTTGGTCCTCAGGAACATCGTTATCTATATTGTTAGGATTAGGCCTGTCACCAATTGCAATCATTTGTTGGTTCTCAGGAGCATCGTTATCTATATTGTTAGGATTAGGCCTGTCACCAATTGCAACCATTTGTTGGTTCTCAGGAACATCGTTATCTATATTGTTAGGATTAGGCCTATCACCAATTGCAACCATTTGTTGGTTCTCAGGAGCATCGTTATCTATAATGTTAGGATTAGGCCTGTCACCAATTGCAATCATTTGTTGGTTCTCAGGAACATCGTTATCTATATTGTTAGGATTAGGCCTGTCACCAATTGCAATCATTTGTTGGTCCTCAGGAACATCGTTATCTATATTGTTAGGATTAGGCCTTTCACCAATTGCAATCATTTGTTGGTTCTCAGGAGCATCGTTATCTATATTGTTAGGATTAGGCCTGTCACCAATTGCAATCATTTGTTGGTCCTCAGGAACATCGTTATCTATATTGTTAGGATTAGGCCTGTCACCAATTGCAATCATTTGTTGGTTCTCAGGAGCATCGTTATCTATATTGTTAGGATTAGGCCTGTCACCAATTGCAACCATTTGTTGGTTCTCAGGAACATCGTTATCTATATTGTTAGGATTAGGCCTATCACCAATTGCAATCATTTGTTGGTTCTCAGGAGCATCGTTATCTATATTGTTAGGATTAGGCCTGTCACCAATTGCAACCATTTGTTGGTTCTCAGGAACATCGTTATCTATATTGTTAGGATTAGGCCTATCACCAATTGCAATCATTTGTTGGTTCTCAGGAGCATCGTTATCTATATTGTTAGGATTAGGCCTGTCACCAATTGCAACCATTTGTTGGTTCTCAGGAACATCGTTATCTATAATGTTAGGATTAGGCCTGTCACCAATTGCAACCATTTGTTGGTTCTCAGGAGCATCGTTATCTATATTGTTAGGATTAGGCCTATCACCAATTGCAACCATTTGTTGGTTCTCAGGAACATCGTTATCTATATTGTTAGGATTAGGCCTGTCACCAATTGCAACCATTTGTTGGTTCTCAGGAACATCGTTATCTATATTGTTAGGATTAGGCCTATCACCAATTGCAATCATTTGTTGGTCCTCAGGAACATCGTTATCTATATTGTTAGGATTAGGCCTGTCACCAATTGCAATCATTTGTTGGTTCTCAGGAGCATCGTTATCTATATTGTTAGGATTAGGCCTGTCACCAATTGCAATCATTTGTTGGTTCTCAGGAACATCGTTATTTATATTGTTAGGATTAGGCCTGTCACCAATTGCAATCATTTGTTGGTTCTCAGGAGCATCGTTATCAATATTGTTAGGATTAGGCCTGTCACCAATTGCAATCATTTGTTGGTTCTCAGGAACATCGTTATCTATATTGTTAGGATTAGGCCTATCACCAATTGCAACCATTTGTTGGTTCTCAGGAACATCGTTATCTATATTGTTAGGATTAGGCCTATCACCAATTGCAACCATTTGTTGGTTCTCAGGAACATCGTTATCTATAATGTTAGGATTAGGCCTATCACCAATTGCAATCATTTGTTGGTTCTCAGGAACATCGTTATCTATATTGTTAGGATTAGGCCTATCACCAATTGCAACCATTTGTTGGTTCTCAGGAACATCGTTATCTATAATGTTAGGATTAGGCCTGTCACCAATTGCAATCATTTGTTGGTTCTCAGGAACATCGTTATCTATATGAATAAATGAATTTATTTCCATTGAGAACAAACTTATTACATGCATTTATAATCCAGTAAATTTGTATTTAAATTTACTCATAGCGAGAAAGTTTTGGGGTAGTTTTGATTTTTTCCATTTCTTATGTATTTTGGGGTGCTGAATCCGAATCTGAGGTTTGCCAACAAAAATTCTTGACGCAACATTGACAAAAATGAGAAAAATATGGAAAAAATGATATTTTTTGTAATATTTAGCTTGTAACTCACAAACTATCAACTTTTTGTTATTAGTCTATATTATAAAAATTAAAGTACACAAAATTTGCTACAAAATGTACCCCTAATGTGATAATCTCCGATGAACCGTTTAGGCTCCAGAGCTATTTGAAAATTGGAACATTTTGTATTAGTTTTTAAATTTCTCCAATTATTCTGTCAGACATATATTCATTGTATATGCCCAGGCAAAGGTCTTATATAAATACAAAGTGTTGAAATTGATTAATTTTGTGTTACTGAACCGTTGACTTTTTATTTAGTGTACAGAAAAGTTACACGAACTGTTGCCGTTTAAATTATCCTCACTCAGAGGGTTGTAATGAGGCAGGTTCTGGCAAACGTTTCGATGCATTATTTGTGAGCATTCTAGCTTGTTCATCTGGTCGATTAAAAAAAGGTTAAAAGTAAAAAATTTACACATAATTATAAGTAATACCAAAATCTAAACTATCAAAATTTAAATAACACTAATCTATTAGCTTGTTCATCTGAACAATTAAAAAAAGGTTAAAAGTAAAAAATTTACACATAATAATAAGAGATACCAAAATCAGTATCTGCTAAAATTAAAATGTAAATAAATAACAATGTGAGTGTTGCAAATTATTCAAGCACAATTAAATAACACTAATTGTAAATAATAAATAACAATAATTATAGGTAATAAATAACAAAACAACAATAATTATAGGTAATAAATAACAAAACAACAATAATTCTGGAAACTTAACGAAAGGTAGAGAAGGTCATTTCATTCTTACATGCAACTATTGGCCTTTGGTACCATATCTATGAGATAACATTGCTTAAATAATCGATGTTTTGTTGTGCAGTAAGCCAGAGATTCAATTGTTTGGAGAATGATTTTAGATTTGTGAGATTTTTAATGTTTGAAGGAACTTGATTAAAATACTTCGGTCCTAAATACTCAAAGGAGTGGCGAAAAATTGATTTATTGACTTTGGGTAGTCTGAAATTGTTTTGACGTACATACCTAGTATTGTAATACACATTGTCACTAACCACATTTCCACTCCTTATAAAAAATAATCTCTGGACCTTGAAAACAAAAAGATGTTGAATAGGTTTAATATTTAAATGCTTATAAAGAGGGAAAGAAGATTCTGTTTTGAATTTGTTTAAAATTATACGTAAAAAATAGTTTTGGGTGGTTCTCAGTTTATCTATCAAATATTTATAAGTTCCGCCCCAACATATTAATCCATATTGTAATCTAGAGTTTATTAATGCAAAATACAGTGATCGTAACAAATCAATACTACAAATATTCCTTAAAAAATAAAAAGTTCTAATTGAAGACCTTAATTTTGCATGCAAACTAAGTATATGTTGATCAAAACTCATTTTTTCGTCCAAAATAATTCCTAGATATTTAAATTTGTTTACTCTTTCTAAAGGTTGGCAGTCGCAGACTACTAAATTACATGAAGCAGAATGATAAGTGAGAGGAAAAGGTATTTCAAAACCTGAAAGATCAAAATTGACATATTTTGTTTTATTTGCATTTATTTGCATTCTGTTTTGGAGGCACCATTGTCTTAACAACAAGAGATCGTGATTGATTGACTCACCAAGTATTACAGAATCTTTATTGCAGTAAAATATTGCTATGTCGTCCGCAAAAGCACTGACATTCCCCTTAAAATTAAGTTCCAATAAATCATTTATAAATATTAGAAATAAAATACCAGAGGTTACTGACCCTTTCGGAACACCTGACTCAACTGTTTTCGCAGAGCTGTAATGATTTAAACATTTTACTTTTTGTTTCCTTCCTACTAAGAAACTTCTGAACCAACACAACGCAGTTCCCCTAATACCCAACGCTTCCAATTTATCTATGAGAATATCATGATCAACTAAATCAAACGCTTTTTTGAAATCAATAAAAAGTCCTGATGTTTTACAATTTGAGTTTAGACTATTGAATATTTGTTCTGTGACATTTAATAAAGCATCTTCAGTTGATTTACCCCTTACAAAACCAAATTGATTACTGCTAAGAAAGTTAATTTTCATCAAATACTTATTCAACCTTAACATCATTAACTTCTCAAATAATTTAGAAAAAACTGAAAGTAAACTAATTGGTCTTATATTGTCTAATTTTGTAGAATTTTTATCTTTTAAAATTGGTACGACAGAACTCAATTTCAGGCTTTCGGGAAATATATTATTATTAGGATTAGGCCTATCACCAATTGCAACCATTTGTTGGTTCTCAGGAACATCGTTATCTATATTGTTAGGATTAGGCCTGTCACCAATTGCAACCATTTGTTGGTTCTCAGGAACATCGTTATCTATATTGTTAGGATTAGGCCTATCACCAATTGCAACCATTTGTTGGTTCTCAGGAGCATCGTTATCTATATTGTTAGGATTAGGCCTGTCACCAATTGCAACCATTTGTTGGTTCTCAGGAACATCGTTATCTATATTGTTAGGATTAGGCCTGTCACCAATTGCAACCATTTGTTGGTTCTCAGGAGCATCGTTATCTATAATGTTAGGATTAGGCCTGTCACCAATTGCAACCATTTGTTGGTTCTCAGGAACATCGTTATCTATATTGTTAGGATTAGGCCTGTCACCAATTGCAACCATTTGTTGGTTCTCAGGAACATCGTTATCTATATTGTTAGGATTAGGCCTGTCACCAATTGCAACCATTTGTTGGTTCTCAGGAGCATCGTTATCTATAATGTTAGGATTAGGCCTGTCACCAATTGCAACCATTTGTTGGTTCTCAGGAACATCGTTATCTATATTGTTAGGATTAGGCCTATCACCAATTTCAACCATTTGTTGGTTCTCAGGAGCATCGTTATCTATATTGTTAGGATTAGGCCTGTCACCAATTGCAACCATTTGTTGGTTCTCAGGAACATCGTTATCTATATTGTTAGGATTAGGCCTATCACCAATTGCAATCATTTGTTGGTTCTCAGGAACATCGTTATCTATATTGTTAGGATTAGGCCTATCACCAATTGCAACCATTTGTTGGTTCTCAGAAACATCGTTATCTATATTGTTAGGATTAGGCCTGTCACCAATTGCAACCATTTGTTTGTTCTCAGGAACATCGTTATCTACCAATACACCAATATCAGACAAATGCTGGATATCAATGTTTTCTTCCATTATCAAAACTGGCAGGCTCTAAACATCAATCGGAGCTGCATCTAAAAAAAACAACAAAAGAAAATATTATTTTATCACATACATAAAAGTAAAAATCTATAAGATAAACCGCCCAAATTACATTCACCTACCTAATACCGGACGTCGATCTCCTATTCTTCATCCTTACCTGATAACAAATGAGGGTTATATTAACAGTGCTTAGTCAAAAACTCTTATATAAAATCAAATTTACTCAGTTGATAACAGTTTTGTTTTATGGGAAAATAATAATTAAATATCAATGACCGGTATTAGGTAGGTGTCTGTAATTAGGGCGGGTTGTCTTAGGCCATTGATTTCATTGAAAATGAAACACAAATAAATGATTGTATCCTAAGCAACATTAAAAAACAACTGACTTTAACTTGATTTTAATAAGGATGAAATTTTCTTACAGCGAGCAGTTTGAACTGTGATAAGTTGAACTGTTGTAAGAAATGTAAAAAATAACGTAAAATTCATATTACATTTCAATTTCACCATCTTTATTGTGCAGATAAATATGTTTGAAACAATAATAGCTTGTTAAACTAAAAGTTGGAACTAATCTAAACTTAGCTAAGCCAAACTAAGGCTTGGCCTAAAGTATTATTATTTCAAGAAGGCAGTACTATGACCATTGATTCTTACCTTCATACGTCGCTTTCCCCAATTCAGCCAAATACCTTCCCCTTGACATTTCAAAACAGAATAATTGGTAGAAGCATTGATAAGTAAAAAGAGATAACGTTTAGGCCAAGCCCTGAGTATAACCTAATAAACTGGATCACACTTTTCACACATCATTAGGTTAGGCAAATACCAAAGAACACAGACTCAAATAGTGAACACAGAGTTTTAATTTATCTTAACAGCTGTTACTTTACAAGGAGTAAAAATAAAGAAGCCTAGCTAACCTGTGTTCTGGTATTGAAATTTTATGTTTAATCTTAGTAAGCACTATGTACAAAATAATTTAACAAAAATAGGTTTGATCAAAAGGATTTAAGGCAGACTGAAATCTGTTGTACCTTATTTTTGTTTGACTCTAAAGAGCTATGGCTCTAAACACTTTTAGATCACAATCAATGTTTGGTAAATAGGGGCTAAGCTGACTTATTCCTTTTTTTATCATGACAATCGTACTTAGCTCCTTAATATCTAGTGGAATATCTCTAAAAGCAAATTTGTCTTACTTAAACAGTTGGTACCATTGAAAAGGGTGCATTTTTTGAAGCAGAAGCGATAAAAAACTCGAAATGTAAAAAAATTACCTAACCCCTTTTGACCTGACTGCAAAGTATTTTAAGTATAAATCTCTAAAATATGTTGTTGTGTAGCAGGTGGCCGTTATCAAACCTCAAGGCTGGTACCACGGTCATGCTTCCTTTATAAGCCGTTCAGCCGTACGTCCGGGAAAGATAATTGTACTGTTGCGATACATCCTAACTGCCTCTAACTAGCGGTGCTTAAATGAATGCTAATAGCTAACTAGCGGTGTTTAAATTAAAACATGAAATCGACTTAAAATCCAATGAGACAGAAAAGTAAAATTGGTTAGTGAAATGGAAGAAGCGGCAAGCTAGGAAACGGTGGAAAGTTAATACTCAAATAAGGCGACAGCGTTTGTAAGTTTTAAGCAGAGAATGAAAGAGCATGTGAAAATCTCACGCTGCCGCCAGATAGTGATGTAGACAGTAGTCACTCACCATTAAACATACCTTTAATTGTCAGGCAAGAAAGCAGCCAAAAGAAACGTGGACGAAAACATGTAAAACGAGCTAAGACCGCGGCTTGTAGGAAAATTAATAAACTAAAAGCTACAAACTACCAGTTACAAAAAAATAAATAAAAGATACTGTATAATAAGAGATACCAAAGACTACTTAAAGATAAGAAAAAGACTAACAGCCCACACCTAAATAAAAAGTAAAAAGATGCTAGGAAGTATTAAGGAACCTAATCAGGTTAGGAAACACATTTTATATGCTGAAGCCATCACTGAAGAGCTGAAGGTATTATTTAAGAAAAACTCAAAAAGAGAAACAAATTTTCACAAAAGTTCTTCAAGGCAGAGTAGTTAAGAAAAACAGAGTTCTTGGTGAAACAAAAGAATGTTTGCAAACTTTTTTAATTAAAATTCATTGTGTAGCCCCTGAACTGTTGAATAGACTAAAAATTAAGGTACCTACATACCTTCACGTCCACAGTTCAAATATGTATGGTTAAACCCACTACATGTTTCGCCTATACATAGGCATTGTCAAGTGGTCCTTCAAGAACGTTTCGTCCATTGTAGACTCGTCAAAAACATTTAAATAAATACACAAAACACGATACGAAACATTTAACACTTAGTAGGCCTACTATTTACCGGTCGCGGTACGGAGGCAGACTGGCTGGAATTATGTAACCCCGACCCCTTCTCCGTTATCAGTCGTACTGCAAAGGTCAAACTGTTCCTGTCTATTGTTATGAGCTATTATGGCGTTAAAAATTGAATGAGATTTGAAGTTTAGCTGGTCATTTAAAATATGGTTCTTATTGTGGGTGTCTTGGAAACTTTTATAGATTTCAAATTGTTCCAGAGAGTCTAATTTGTTACCTTTGTTACAAATGTGAAGGATTTCCAGGCTATTGTCAATTACATCTACGGTGTGATTGTTATCCAATAAATGTTGGGCAAAAGTGGATTTTTGTTTGTCTGCTCTGGGGTCGGGGCGATGTTCTTTGTGCCGTTGGGTGAAGGTCCTGCCAGTTTGTCCAATATAAAAATCAGGACAATCCATGCATTTTAGTTTGTAGACCCCAGACTTTTCAAGCTTATTTTCATCAGTAATTTTATTGGACAGAGCTTTCATAGTCTTATTTGTGGTCCTGAAGTTTAATTGAAGCCCATGTTTCTTTAAAACCTTGTTGAGCCCATTGTGAGCTATGTGGCTGTATTCTATACAAATGTATTTATTCTCGGGTTCATCTGATACGGGTTCATTTGGTTTGTTCTTTAATTTCGATACTATTTTATCTACGATGCTCGGTTTGTATCCATTGGAGATAGCAATATGTTTAATTATGTTCAGTTCTTTATTGTAGTTGTCAGGTGAAAGCGGAAATTTGAGTAACCTGTAGACTAAGCTATTGTAGGCGGCAAGTTTTTGAGAAATAGGATGGTATGACGTGGCGTGTATTGTTTGGCTTGAAGTCGTGGGTTTCCTGTAAATACTGAAATTTAGTTTACTATTATCCTTCTCAATAGTCATATCTAGAAAATTGATCTTATTATTGACTTCTGTTTCTATCGTAAACTGTAGTTTGGGTGCGATGTTGTTTAGGTAGTTTAATAATAAGTTCAGTTGTCGAGTATTGCCATTAAACAACATAATGGTGTCATCAACATAACGGTTGTAAAGGGTGATCCTGTTTCTGTATTTATTTGATTCAGAGAAAATGAAGTTGTTTTCTATATGATTAAGATAAATATCAGATAGTATTCCAGATAACGGGGAACCCATCGCAAGACCATCAGGCTGGGAGTAAAAATTGCCATTGAAAGTAAAATAGTTTTGTCTTAAGATCTCCGTTAGCAGCGCCATTATTTCATCAGTAGATTCCGATAACATTGTTGGGCTATTGGTTAGATGTAGTTTTACTATCTCCAGTACTTTATCAATGGGAACATTAGTATATAAGTTCACAACATCGAACGATGCGAGCGTGTGGTGCATTTGAATGGTTATGTCTTTGTTTTTATTTATGAACACATACGAGTTTTTCAGGCTGTAGTTGTTGGTTAAAGTTATGTTATCTCGTAGTAGTTTTTCTAGTTTTTTTGCTGCTTTATATGTTGGTGCTGGAGTAAAATCAACTAATGGTCTGATAGGTGTGCCTTCCTTATGTACTTTAGGAAGGCCCCTAAAAACTGGAGCTGAGGGGTTCATCACCTTAAGATATTTTATTTCATCCTGAGAAAAAATTGTTTTGGACTCGTTAATTATTTTCTTAATCCTCCTCTGATAGGTTTTAGTGGGGTCTTTGTTTAAATGTACAATATTATTTTTATTGAAAAACTCATGGACTTTGTTTGAATAATCATTTTTATGCATTATCACGGTGGTGTTACCCTTATCTGCCTTGCATAAAATGGTGTCATTGGTAACCAGCTTTTGTTTAATGTTCTTTAAAATTTTAAACTCCTCTTTGTGTAAATGAGAATGGTTATTGCCATTCAGGATCACCCTTTACAACCGTTATGTTGATGACACCATTATGTTGTTTAATGGCAATACTCGACAACTGAACTTATTATTAAACTACCTAAACAACATCGCACCCAAACTACAGTTTACGATAGAAACAGAAGTCAATAATAAGATCAATTTTCTAGATATGACTATTGAGAAGGATAATAGTAAACTAAATTTCAGTATTTACAGGAAACCCACGACTTCAAGCCAAACAATACACGCCACGTCATACCATCCTATTTCTCAAAAACTTGCCGCCTACAATAGCTTAGTCTACAGGTTACTCAAATTTCCGCTTTCACCTGACAACTACAATAAAGAACTGAACATAATTAAACATATTGCTATCTCCAATGGATACAAACCGAGCATCGTAGATAAAATAGTATCGAAATTAAAGAACAAACCAAATGAACCCGTATCAGATGAACCCGAGAATAAATACATTTGTATAGAATACAGCCACATAGCTCACAATGGGCTCAACAAGGTTTTAAAGAAACATGGGCTTCAATTAAACTTCAGGACCACAAATAAGACTATGAAAGCTCTGTCCAATAAAATTACTGATGAAAATAAGCTTGAAAAGTCTGGGGTCTACAAACTAAAATGCATGGATTGTCCTGATTTTTATATTGGACAAACTGGCAGGACCTTCACCCAACGGCACAAAGAACATCGCCCCGACCCCAGAGCAGACAAACAAAAATCCACTTTTGCCCAACATTTATTGGA